CTTATGTTCATAGTAACAACCAATCTTACTCTGATTTTTACATATTGAGTAAACAAATGCAAATCAAATGAATGGATTGTCCTTATAGAAACGCTATTTCTCATTTAATTTAAACCATCATTGCGAGTTATCGAAAAAATACTTTGAAACTGTCCACCTATAGTTAATAATCGCGATTAAATGCATTATGGCATTAATATATCTGACACACATTCACCTGTTAAGTGCACACACTATTCAAAATGCTTTTCAGCAATCTTTTGAGAATTCGCTGTATAAAGCATAGAGGTATGTAAATAATATTACAAATCTGCAGCATAACGCTTTTACGTTTAATTTGGATTTGTCTATTCTCAATCAATTCACGACATTATAACATCAATTTACGAGACTTGAACATCGATTTACGAGATTTCAACATTGGTAAACTACCTATTGAACTAATTTTACCTATTTAGTAACGTTATGACTAAATGAGCCAAAATGCTACTCTCTTGTAACATATAGAAGATTGAATCGTTTATAGGAGGTATCATAACTTTTGATAAATACTTCATATAAATATCTACCCAAAGTTTTTCTTTGTCACAAGGCTCTGTCCATTAATCTCATCCGTAAAGTTGTAGTTGTTATTGTCGTTAGTCTGAATAAAATGCAGATCCTGTGTCCAAGCGGTGGACACAGGATCTGTAGTTAAATGAGATTTTCGTTGTTTTTTGAGAGAATATTGTTTCAAAGCTAAGGTTTTCAATTCTCTTCAACTTCCTTCTTGATTTAGTCTTCCATCTTCAAGAATTCGGTTACCACTGACGAGTTTGATTTTGACGTAATGAATATCCGGGGTAATAAATCATACGTCTGGAATCTCTAATGATTTGTTTTAAGTAAGATCTTCAGTCTTATTTGATTTATTCATTCAAAGCTTGTACTCACTTGTCTGTGGATGAAAACTGCATTAGTGTTACGTTACCTCTAAATGTATTTCGTGAACTTAAATTGTTTGGGTTTCTGATTTGTTTTCTTCCAAATTCTGTGAATTAATTATTATACGCGGGAAACAAATTTTCGTAAATTTTGTGAGTATATATGAACCACGAATTTAAATGTTCAACGAAGTAATATTTTTATGTAGGCTTGTAGGCAGACTTTGGCAAAACCATGAAATTAAATATACACGAAAATGAAATTTGTCCTCGATCCACAAAAATTTTGAATCCACAGTATGACTAAAACTATGCTTTTCATATCTTTTTTGACAACTTGTTATTAACTCACCATTCATGATTTGTTTAAATTCGTGTTGTCCGAATGACTTTTCTATATCTATTTCATTTTTGTAACGTAATCTATAAACTATATATGTCAAGTTCTCAATTGTCCCCAGTCTAGGAAAAGTGTGAATAAACATTACAGACCTTTTCATCTGCAATCAAACCAAAACATATCCTAAATGACAAGAAAGAACCCTCAAATTATCAAGATAATACTGAGCTGCGTCGGATAGAAATCGACCTTACGCAAATGAATATCAATACATGTACATATGTATATCAATTAACCTATTTCGGGAAGACAAATTTTTATATGCAAAGTCTGTAACTGTTTTAAAATTGAGTTGCTATAAGAACTCTACAAAACAGACAAAAAAAATCATCTTTTATTGCGTATTTGAATGTTCTAAACTCAATCAATCTCTCATACAAGTACATGTATACGTGCACTTGCATAAGGTCGATTTCTATCCGACGCAGTTCATATTATTACCAATGACAGCCATTGTATGGTTCTGTTATTTTGAACGTGAAACGATTACAACTATATATAACCTACAATTAGCATTTAAATGATTGATTTTTCTCGAATTCATATGAAATTATAAGTTAGGCAAAAATAAAGGGTTGTGAGAATATAATCACACAAATGAAAGAGCTAGCCGGAAACCGTCATTACTTAGTAATTTCATCAAGGTTATCCGAGGTCAAGATTGTAATTTCATATAATGAGATTAACTTTTCATAGGGGAGACGAATAAGTTTCTTGAATTGAAGTGATTAAGTTATGTGCCAACGAGTATACTGTTTTGTCATTGGTAAACCGGTTATTGAGGCCAGTAATTTAACATGAATACAACTTAATAAATTGTGTTTTCAACTAGATGTGAAAAAGAATGGCAAATAGTTTTGGCGTGTCAGCTGATAGATATTTTTGAGAAATATTAGGAAATGCCTGTGCTAAGTCAGGAATGTGACAGTAGTTTTCTATTCGTTTTATGTGTTTTAGCTTTTGATTTTCCCATTTTATAAAGGACTTTCCGTTTTCAATTTCCCTTGGAATTCGGTATTTTTGTTATTTTACTTTGTACTGTACATGTATTATATACGAAACGGAAAGACATTCTAAAAATGAACTTGACAATGAATCTTAATGAAGTGCCATAAGGTTTCCGATACTAGTAATCACTATATGAAAATGGATAATTAACGCATTCATACGACCCAACAGCGTACTTCGTTATAGGTAAAATAGTCCATTTGGGAGTTCTATATGTATATTTCTTATGTACATGTATGTGCTGTCTATATTTTGTAAATGAGAGGCGAAAGATACCAAAGGGACATTCAAACTCATAAGTCGAAAATAAACTGATAACGCCATGGCTAAAAAAGAAAAATACCAATAAACAAACAACAGTACACAAAACACCAAAATCGTGGGGTCATCTCAGGTGCTCCGGAAGGGTTAGTAGATCTGCTCCACAAGTGGCACCCGTCGTGTTGTTCATGTAACCTACCATTTAATTGAAAAATAACAATGTTGAGGCAAAACCCATACCGTTTAGTGAACTATAAAAGCCCGGCACGCAAAATGTGAAACAATCCAAAAGACAATAGACCAAATTTGTTCTATAACTATATAGGAAAAACAAAAAAGACAGATAGCAATCAACGACAACCACTGGATTACAGGTTCTGGGCTTGGTAAATGCATATAAAGAGCATGGCTGGTTTAACATCTATAAATGTAAGGTGATGTGGTATGATTGCAGATGAGACAACTATCCACCAAAACTCAACTGAAGTGGATTTAGGCAATTATAGGCAAACGTACGGCCTTCAATAATGAGAAAAATCCATACCGTATAGTCGGCTATAAAAGGTCCCGACATGAAAAATATGATTCAATTCAATTAAGAAAACTAAAGGCCTCATCTTTAACAAAACAATTTACGAAAAACAAATTTGACAGACATGAATCAACAACAACCACTAAACTACAGATTCCTGACTTGGGACAGGTACATATAGAATGTGGCGGGTTACACATGCTTAAAGGCCCTCCTCCTTACCTGGGACAACACAATATCAAACTATGCAAAACAATCAACAAAAACAAATTCGAGACCAACAAAAAAACGACAACCACTCAATTATAGGCTACTGACTTGGGATAAGCACATAAAGAATGTTGCGGGGTTAAACATGTTTCAAGGCACCAGCACTCCACTAACCTGAGATAGTGGTTTATATGTACAACATAAGAACAAACTATAAATATTAGTTAACAAGGGCTTTACTAATCAGGTCAGTACAAAGAAGAAAATCATCTAACAAAAACCCAGACTGGACGTGGCAGGGTATTTGTACATCACTTAAAATAGAAAAGACGCAAAGTATAGATCTGAGAGTCTTTGCAGTTACTGACAGCTACATGTATTTCAAAGCCAATAACAACTAATAAAAAAGTATCTAAGACTGAAATATCAATCAGATCACATCCAACATCCGATAGATAAGTACAACACTAATCGTCATTAACAGTCAGAGAAAAAACGTGACCTTGTACAATGCCAAAATATAGGTATCGATAGATTGTAGTACCGCGAATGAGCATATTTGTATAACAATAATATTGGTAACATGTTTACATTAAGAGCGTTCAACTTTTCCTCAAATTCGAGTCCGCCTGCAATTGGTTGAACATCTGTTATGTATGCCAAATACATTAGCAAATCAAAAAAAGAAGATTTCTAATTTTAATTTTGAATTTGCATCAGAGTATGTATTTTTACATTATATTCGTGTCTCTATTTATGAAAATGGTAAAAAAAAAACACAAAAGATTACTTCGTATTCCTTAAGATCTAAACGGCTCTCCTGGTATGTTGCTTTGAAATCTATTCACATATGTAGTCGGCAGCTCGAAAAGCAACTTATTTTAACACTGGATCAATATATCAATAATTAACACTATACTAAGTTACAAAACTGCCGTGAAATCCTTCTGTTTAATAATTCTTCATCAATAAGAAAAGTTTTCCAAGTCGAAGCTTACCTTTCTCGCCAGGGAAGGAAAAATTGTCCAATACTAATGTTGGATACTGTGGATTCATTATTATTCGTTGGATACCAATTTTTGTGGATTTCGTGGTTATATGTTAACCACAAAATTAAAAGTTCAACGAATGGCAAATTTACTATAGGTTTGTATGCAGACATTGTCAAAAACCACGAAATTAAATATCCACGAACATGTAAGTTTTCCTTAATCTACGAAAGTTGGTACCCACGAAAATAAATGAATCCACAGTATCATACGTTCAACAAAAACCTTATCAATTTTATACAACTTGATGACCCTTTGCGAGAATCGTCTTCATAAAAATAGAAGATTGTTCTGAGGGTTACCGATAAAGTACCACAGAAAATATTATTCTTCAACACGTTTTTTTTAAAACAGATCATCTCTTTTAATACCCGATTAGGGAAAATGCAAAAAGGAGTTTTCCAGTGCAGTATGTAGTCACATCCTATTCAAATTAACGAGCAAATACTTCAAACGCACATATTTGTGACTTACTTCTTAATGTTATAAGGTGAAGGGAGAAACTAAATATACAAAAGTTGTCCAGGCGAGAGAGCAATGCACGATATTTCCCATTCGATGATGGCACGTGGCCATGAAAGAACAATGGCTGTATGCATATTGAATGTTAAACATACCGTTTCTGTATCATGGTCTGTTGTTTTCTCACTTTCCTCAGCTATAGGTCGAAAAGATTTCTTCCCCTTTAATTCCTTCAGGACTTTAAGCATAATGAACTTGTCCTTTGCCTGTAAAAAGATGATATACAAATTAGAACTTAATGCCTCTAACTTTTTGTAATTTACAGTTATACAAAAAAGGATGACAAGGATCTTCTAAAATATTGGACAGTGCAACAGCTCACACAAACCAACAACTGCATGTACCAAACGGAAAAAAATATAGATATAAAAAGAAAGATTATAACAGCGAAACAATACTTTGTTCATTAGGGATAGCTTTCTATAGGCATCACACTTGGAGAGAATTTAGCAGTTTTACGTGCATAAAGACCTCTCCAAATTACAAAAAAATACTTACTATACTATTCAAACTAGTTATTGTGATAGAAGGTAATACAATCAATAAAAACATCCTTACTATAACTGGTTATTTGACCTTTAATTTATTCACCATACAACTATGATGGCCGTTAAAGTATGGTGATAAATTTTACTTTATAATAAATGGAAGGTTACATAAAGAGTATTAAAATTAGATATTCCAATCTATTGAACTACCAGGTTTTTTTTTCAATTGTTCTTATGTTACTTTAATATAATCTAGCAGGTTTGGAAAAATAAGTCTAGAAAAAAGTATGCATAGGATATGATGTTTCACCTGGTAATGTATTATGTGTTTTACCATAGTTTTTACGTGTAAGTAAGACTACAGTGTACTGCTTAAATTACCATATAGTATTACATAATGCCGCTACTTGCATAGATGTAAATCGTAAAAAAATGTCGTAGAAAATAAGTCTTACATACTTTTATTTGTTTTTACCAAAAAACTCAATTTATTTATATGTTTCAAGTCAATACTAATCATATTTGTTTTAATTTCATATGCGCGGTACAATTTTATTCACTTATGACTCTTATTGCGTTTTAGATTTTTCTATAATGCAATGATTTAAAGGTATTTTAAAATATATGAATATGACTCAACGTTCAGTTGGGATATTATCGGTTTCTTACAATAACGAAGTGTAACAGGTTCTTTTGAAGTTATCTTAAAAAGTAAAATAACAAAAATACCGAACTCCGAGGAAAATTCAAAACGGGAAGTCCGTAATCAAATGGCAAAATCAAAAGCTCAAAACATCAAACGAATGGATAACAATTGTCATATTCCCGACTTGGTACAAGCATTTCCTCATGTAGAAAATGGTGAATTAAACCTGATTTATAGCTAGCTAAACCTCTCACTTGTATGACAGTCGCATAAAATTCCATTATATTGACAACGATGTGTGAACAAAACAAACAGATATAATAGGTAAAAATGTCAAAAAGTGCGTTTGTGTTAATGTACTATACATTGTACGCCTAATACCAATTGAGCATCTGAGATCACCCCTGGTTTTTGGTGGGGTTTGTGTTGCTCAGTCTTTAGTTTTCCATTTTGTTTTTTGTGTACTGTTGTATGTCTTTTTGTCGTTTTTCGGTTTTTGCCATGGCATTGTCAGTTTTTTTCGACTTATGGGTTTGAATATCCAATTGGTATCTTTCGCCTCTTTAATACAAAATGCATATCAATATTTACCTTATTTCCCGATATTTCATCCTCAATTGGTAACATTTGATACATAATGAAAACCAACATCTAATACTAATCCATTTATATTATAAAATGATTCATTATCACTTAGATTGAACTTGTTTTAATGAGTTATCGCCTATTTTTAATTTTGAACCAAGAACCAGTGCACAACATTCATGAGCATAACGACATTTCAAATGCTCCTGATATATCTTTTCTAAATATGTATCCTTTTTATCTACTTTGCCGCCATTTAAGTTTGACCATACCACGATCAATCAAAAGAAAGCGTTTATTGGATTTTAGGAAAACAAAGATAAATTACACCAATATCGGAATAACTACGTATTTAATTACAATCTATTAGTTGACATTTTCACCTATATCAGAATGATGAATTGCCAAAAAAAATAACAAAGCTGGACCTTTCAATCAGCGTGTTCTAATTTCCACGTTATTTTGACTTCGTAGAAGGTTAATTCATACGCAAGGCTTATTCTTAATTGAAATTCTGATACTATTTTCGGAACATACTCGATATATTGTTTTATGTTTATTTAAATAGTAGGAGCAAACGTTTTAATATACAAACAGTGAATCATTCAACAGAAAGTACAAATAACCTGAAAAACATGAATATTCATTTCATATTGCGAATGTTTCAAATTCGTCAAAGTCTGTCATTTTGTTAAAACAAAAAAATATATAAAAAAAAACACACAAAAAAGCTTAAAAGGGTCAATAAGAACATTAAGATTGTGCGTGTTGTCGTGCTAGGCATACCCCACTCGTAATTCAAAATATCAGAAAACAGGAAGTAGGTGTCTGACAGATTCGATAAGTCAACACATGTTATAACTCATCACTGTCAAGCTGTTGGCCAAATGTGAAATTATTCTGTTTTGTAGTTTCTGAAAAAAAAGTTCTAGAAAATATTTGCTGGATACACGAACGAATTGACGGACGAATAAACAGACGGTTTAAATTATGTTTGGGGTTAGATTTAATGAGAAAACAACCAAATGACAAAGAAACCAAAAGTCATTATGAATTTTAAAAAGTATTTTCTCTCAAATACGTCAGCTACAGAATTAAAAGTTATACAATAAGACAAGTTCTAAATTATCACAAGGCTAGCAAAGTTTTGATAACAATTAATAAAGTTTAAAGGATGCTGTATTTCTGTCATATTCCCTATAGGACAAGAAGTTCCATTTTAACCAAGGACAACAAGTGACCAGGTGTTTGTCTAAGGGTAAGCACAATAACACGTGGCGGTGTTACACTAGGTATTTGGCACCAGTCCTGTTAAACGATGTTCAAGGGAATATTCGTGCAAGTTAACTACATTATCTTGATATACAGCTTTTCATTTCTTAACCATTGAAAATTCAACAAGACTAAAATAACCTTGGGGTCTTTGTATCCTAAGTTTAAATTGCTTGGACGTTCAAGAAAACTGTTTTGATTTGCCAATTAGAACGTTTATTCACCTCACAAGCCATTACAATGAAAGGTCAGGTCAACATGGTACTTTATTTTCCGTCAAAGATTGATAGCAATTACATAACCTGACAAGGGTAAAGATAATTGCTAAGCGAAGCCAAAATGTAAGAAATGTCACTTAGCAAAAACCAGAAAAGCCAGATATTGAGTTCAGCAAGTGAAATATTGTTGTTTTTGGTTTAATTAAACAAAAGGCAATGATGCATACATAAAAACAGATATTTTTGTCTTGTGAATTGTTTTCGGAGGGATCACTTAATTCAAAAACAGGTGATCCCTGTATGTATTCTAAAAGAAGAAAACGGCTGCATTGCACTGGAACATAAAGTTGGAAGACTAAATAATGAGAATTAGCAATAAAAATGTGCGAAACTACAAGGCATGATTAAAGATACTAGCAATGAAAATTCCCAAGGACAATACATGTTCTACAACGATTCACCTCTTGCCACTTTTGTAGAAAGATGTAATAGATGATAGTAATTATGTTGACATGGTTAGAATTAAGGGAATGTTTTCTGACTTAATAAGAGTCTGGATAATGTATTGGCTAATGAACGTCTGATTACACTTCAAAATCACAGGGACGACAGTTTTAATTCAAAGTTCTTATGTAAATGTTAGCAATTACGAAATATATTAAAGGTGGGAAAAGTAGTTGAAAGACACTAAAGATCGGCTGTATTTTCAAATCTAACAGATTTTGAATTTAGTTGAATTAAAGGTTGAACAAATCTTATAGCCAGATATCGCCTTACTGTGCTTTATTATTTTTATAATGTCCTGTCAGTTAATAATTCACATTTTAGCAAATGCTTGCATCTCAAATATATGCCTGTGCACTTGACATTGAGGATGCTATGAAATACAAAATTTGTGGTTGATATCTTGATTGTTTCCTTGAAATTGACACTGACAAGCGACTTCAAAGAAGGATCTAAAATAATTTTTTTGTCTTTTGATTGATAAAATCAGAATGGATCAACGGGTTTGCATGGTTTCAACATTTGGAAACTGCTGTTGCCTTTTTTTAATACTTAGTTTATCGTGTAATGCCTTGTGAAAACTGATACCTTATAATCTAATTGACGTGTGTTTGCACGGTATTCATAAAGTGTTATTCTTATTCACAGTGCCAACCTTTTGAAACAGAGGACAGCAAGATATCAACACATATAAACATGTAAGGTTCAGGAAAGTGTACATTTTTATTCAATCTAATTATCTAAGCCCGATGATACTTGGTTGATTCCCAAATCATTTATCTTTTGCTTACAATGAATAATTGCACGATTTTGCAGTCTAATATTACAAAAAAATAAGAGATGTACTTTTATCAGGCTCATATACGTAATGCTGAAGTGCTTGGGTGACAGGACGAATAACAACTATAATACCTCAATCTCTATTTGAATGTTTTAGGTCAGATTTAATATGAGATATGACTTCAGAGAGAGAATGGTCAGTTTCATGCACACGGTACACAATGGAATCTTTCTTGTTACATTTGTGGTAAGGAAAAACGGTCAAGTATTTTTGAGGAAGAGAAAACGGAATAATGAAATACTATTCATGATATATCTCTCAACTTCTTGGTTTTTATTCTCCTTTTTGTTTATTTTGCCCCCTTTTTCTACATCCCTTATATATTCATCCTCTAAAATTAAAAAAAAAAATGACCTATCCTATCTAAACATAAATAAGCTGAAATAGAAATCGCATTATGCAAATGAATATCAATACATCTGTTAACCTATTTCGGGTTTAAAATATCTATGCAAAGTCTGTAACTATTTGAAAATTGAGATAATATAAGATCCATGAAAAACAGACCAAAATTCTTCTTTTATTTCGTATTTGAATGTTCAAAAATTAATCATAGTCTTATACATGTACATGTATACGTGCACTTGCATAAGGTCGATTTCCATCCGATATAGCTCATATAACAGTAACAGTTACTGGAAATTTTTAAATA